AATAATCTAAATAAATATCAGAGTTACAGTCGTCTGTATGAAGTGTAAAGAGATGAACTCAGTCTGCTGCTGAACATGTCTGACTGACTTTAACTATTAATAATCTAAATAAATATCAGAGTTACAGTCGTCTGTATGAAGTGTAAAGAGATGAACTCAGTCTGCTGCTGCTGAACATGTCTGACTGACTTTAACTATTAATAATCTAAATAAATATCAGAGTTACAGTCGTCTGTATGAAGTGTAAAGAGATGAACTCAGTCTGCTGCTGAACATGTCTGACTGACTTTAACTATTAATAATCTAAATAAATATCAGAGTTACAGTCGTCTGTATGAAGTGTAAAGAGATGAACTCAGTCTGCTGCTGCTGAACATGTCTGACTGACTTTAACTATTAATAATCTAAATAAATATCAGAGTTACAGTCGTCTGTATGAAGTGTAAAGAGATGAACTCAGTCTGCTGCTGCTGAACATGTCTGACTGACTTTAACTATTAATAATCTAAATAAATATCAGAGTTACAGTCGTCTGTATGAAGTGTAAAGAGATGAACTCAGCCTGCTGCTGCTGAACATGTCTGACTGACTTTAACTATTAATAATCTAAATAAATATCAGAGTTACAGTCGTCTGTATGAAGTGTAAAGAGATGAACTCAGCCTGCTGCTGAACATGTCTGACTGACTTTAACTATTAATAATCTAAATAAATATCAGAGTTACAGTCGTCTGTATGAAGTGTAAAGAGATGAACTCAGTCTGCTGCTGAACATGTCTGACTGACTTTAACTATTAATAATCTAAATAAATATCAGAGTTACAGTCGTCTGTATGAAGTGTAAAGAGATGAACTCAGTCTGCTGCTGCTGAACATGTCTGACTGACTTTAACTATTAATAATCTAAATAAATATCAGAGTTACAGTCGTCTGTATGAAGTGTAAAGAGATGAACTCAGTCTGCTGCTGCTGAACATGTCTGACTGACTTTAACTATTAATAATCTAAATAAATATCAGAGTTACAGTCGTCTGTATGAAGTGTAAAGAGATGAACTCAGCCTGCTGCTGCTGAACATGTCTGACTGACTTTAACTATTAATAATCTAAATAAATATCAGAGTTACAGTCGTCTGTATGAAGTGTAAAGAGATGAACTCAGCCTGCTGCTGCTGAACATGTCTGACTGACTTTAACTATTAATAATCTAAATAAATCAGAGTTACAGTCGTCTGTATGAAGTGTAAAGAGATGAACTCAGCCTGCTGCTGAACATGTCTGACTGACTTTAACTATTAATAATCTAAATAAATATCAGAGTTACAGTCGTCTGTATGAAGTGTAAAGAGATGAACTCAGCCTGCTGCTGCTGAACATGTCTGACTGACTTTAACTATTAATAATCTAAATAAATATCAGAGTTACAGTCGTCTGTATGAAGTGTAAAGAGATGAACTCACATGTATGTTTTGATTTTCAAGTGCCTGAATTTCTCCCATATTCTGGGTTCCAGAGAAGTTCTGTTAAAAACACGTTTCCAGATGATCAGCTATGACACATTACCACACTGAGATATGTAGTCACCAGTATTTATTTGTTATTGTTTAATACAACCAACTCAAAATTGTTTTTAGCTGTATCTATTTTTCTCTTAATTTTCCTACATGTAAAAAAAAGGTTTGTCCTGCATGAAAACAAAAAAGTATTTAACTCCTGTGATTTTGTCTGAAATCTGTTTTTTACCTGTTTACAGATAACTACTTTGAATTGAATCTGATAAATATAATAATATATTCATCAACATTTTAATTATAGTGTTTTTATTATGTGACTAACAGCTAACCACTAAGTACAGAAACAACATTTGATTTTGGACGGCTGACATTCACTTCAGGACGGTTCAAATAGTTTTTCAGGACGGAGGTGAAAAGAGTAGGACCCTGTCCTACAGACTGGTAGAATAAGAGACTAAAGGACATCCTTTTATTTCAGATTCTACAATAATATTAAAAATACATTTATTTGATGGCACCTTTCATGGCGCTCAAGTCACCTTACAACAAGAAGCATTTTGGATGAGTAGCAGTCGGTGAATAAGTTTGTTCGGGATTCCCGCTAAAATTGCATTGCAGTAATCGAT